TATATATAATAATAATAATAATAATAATAATAATAATAATAATAATAATAATAACAACAACAAATAGAGAAGAGGAGAGGGAGAGGAGAAGTATGTTAGTGTTAGTATGTTAATGTGATGATGCATTAATGTTATGGTGTTAGTAATTTTGCAAATGTGTATGTGTTAGTGTTAATGTGCAAATGTGTGTGTGTTAGCGTTCACGTGCAAATGTGAACGTGTAAGTGTGTGTGAGCATTAATGAGTAGTTGCATAGATATGTTAATGTGTAAGTGAACATGTGTATACGTGTAAAGAAAAAGAAAGAAAAATGGTGTGTTTGTGTGCATGTTTGTGAGTGTGCGAGTATGATAATATTTGCACGAGTGAATGATTATGTTCATGTGCATGTGATAGAATGCGTTGGGATGATTTATTTTTTTAATCTCCACGCAAGTGGGATGAATCTTATTTTAACATTGCAAGTTGAGATTATTTCTTTAATTTCCGTGCAAGTAGGATGAATCTTACTTTAACACATGCAAGTTGGGATGAATTTCATATTTCTATGTAAGTTGAGATAAATTTGATTATTCCATGTAAGTTGAGATAAATTTGATTATGCAATGCAAGTTGGGATGATACTAACATTGCCTTGCAAACTCACATGTTTTATTTCCAGAAAATTGACGCATGATAGTTATAATATAGGATGTGTTGGATGTTGCTTATAATAGGAAGGATTCAATTCCTGAGGCTAAGAAAAACAAAATAGCCTAGTTAAGCTTATATGTAAGGATTCCTAAAAGAAAAAAATTTCTATAAAATATACTGAATCTGTTCTAAAGGAAATTTGTCAAAAAATAGAATTAATAACACTTAGGTGCAAACCTAAAAAAAGATACATTTTATATATCGACTAAGTATGTTAAAAAAATATTAAAATTTAAAATTTGTGCTGGTTCAAACTCGAGAGAATCTCCTTTAAATGGTTTTTTGAAGATAATTCTAAATAAAATATGAAGAACTTCTCTCGAAGTTAAAACCTCATTTTAAGAATAAATCTTTTAAATCCATCTCACATCCGTATTTATTAAATCTGGTTTCACATCATAACAGAGACAAAACACCGTGAAAAGCGGCACAATGCAAAAAATCTTGATTTAACAGAGTCATGGATTTAATTTTCATGTTTTTGGTATTTGGCTGGATTTACATTAAATTCATCCATAAATTCGATTAATTGTATGCTACCAAAAAATTCCTTAACAAATCTGGATTTAAGCTAAACTAAAGATAAATTTTGGTTTGGGACTCAAATAAAAAATAAAATTCATAAATTCATGAAATTATTGCATTTTAGCAATGGATTGGATATAGCTGATAAATCCCAATAAAAATACAAACCCTAAATCCATGATTTACGGCAGAAGGGGGGGAGACGGGATTTAAGAGAGTTTAGCATCTGGGAGCCGCAGGGTCGTCGATTCGGGCGAAGCTTCAAATCTCCGGCGCCCAATTTGGTGAGGTACATACTCCTGCCTGCCGCTGAGCTTCGCTGGCTGCACTGACAGCCTCCGTCATTTCAGCTTCTTTAGCGGCACCAAGTAGGATGCCAGCTTAGTGATGGGCGGTAAAGTGACTTATATTACCATTTCATTTCCATGGGTCTGTTGCTTTTATGAATGCCTGTTAAGGAAGAAGTTGTGATGTGAGCATATATGATGTATGCCTTGATTTTTCAATGGTTTTTGAACAGTTGAATTTTTCAGTCAGAGGCGAAACAATGGTTCCTGAAACTGAATTTTCTCGACCATTTCAACTTTCCTGAGTTGGTATAGTTGTTATTCACAATTACTTTCAATAATTTCTACCTTTGTTGCCTTAGGCCGGCATCTTCTCCTTCCTAATCCTTTAAAGCTAGTTTTATCAACCAGTCTAACGAATTCATTTGGTACCCTCTATTGTTCATGTTCAAGTCACTTAAAGTTATTTTCAACTACCTTATCTCCAATAGATGCTGCCTAGTAAAATCATTGCCTGATTTATACTTGTTATTTTCAACTACCTTATCTCCAATAGATGCTGCTTTTATCACAACTCTAGTAAAATCATTGCCTGATTTATACTTGGTAGTTTTTTCTTGCATTCAACTCAGTATATTTGCTTCGCCCAATTTAGTCAGCAACAACTTTTTTTACTAACATCAGCAATCATAACGGTAATTTTATAAATTTTTTTTTTTATGTTGCCATGAAATCCTCAAATCGCTTAATACTTTTTAAGTCACTTATTGATTTAAGCAGACATAGTTCATCTTAGAAGTTATATCCTTGGTTATAGTCTCATAGAATCTATTTAGCAAAATTAAAAGAATGTACTAAATGTTCCCAATTTAAAAATTTCTCTTGAAATCTTGCTTGTCTGCTATCATCTTTCCTTCCCCTTATCTTTATTTTTCATTGTTTGAAAGCTTTATTTTGCTTCTCCTTTATTCCTGATTTTTGCTTATAGCTTTTGTTAATTTTTTTGTGTTTTGTTCTATTTGTTGCTTACAATCGAGGTTGTGCCAAGATTATGCATGTAAATTTTCCCCATTTAGAAGTATTAAAATGTATGTTATTCTTGGGCTTCTACTTTCTTTGCTAAAGATTTTTTGGTGTATTTACGTAAATACCCAATTCCTATTTATTTACATATCTAACACCTAAATTTGACTTTTCACATTTTTAACACGCAGATCTTTCATATCACATAAAAAAATGCCACCATTTAATTTTAATAAGTAAAATACAATTTTTCATGCATATGTAAGTTGGTATGCATGTAAAAATTTAAGTTTGGGTGTTAGATATGCAAATACATAGGAATTGAGTGGTATGCATGTACATCTTCTTTTATTTTTGTATGTTTTATTGGCAGTCTTGTTTTTTTCTTAGTTGAGATATCTTAATCAAACCAGGCACTCTAAGATAAGCTTATGATTGTTGGAACAGGTTTATTTCTATAAATTGAGCTATGAGATGAAGCTGAAAGTCAAAATTATTTGAACGCAACACAAACACTTCGTGAATGTTATGTTATGAGGATTGTCCAATGAAAACACATTTGCATTGTCGATTGCATTTCTTTTTATTTAGTTAATGTAATAAGAAAACAGTTAGTTTATATTTTATTAAGATTATTTGAATGGGTCTACTTTAAATTGTTTAGCATTGTATTTGCTAAGTACCTATCTTCTTAAAAGTTCTTTTTTTTTAATAATTTTAAGGGCCTTTTATTTTATAAATGAGGATTCTATGGTTTATTGTTTTGCTGTGAATGAAGAATTTTGAAAAAAGCGCCTCTATTTTTTCTCTTTGCACCACATGTGCTGCCTCTCTCTGTCTTGAATTTTCTTTCCCCTTCGTTGCCATTTTCTCTATCTTCTTTCTATCTACTCCAATTTGTTTGTCTAGTGGCTTTCTTTTCTCGTATGTCTCTCCCATTTTTTCTTCATTTTAACACTATCAGACCTCACCCGAATGTTCTTTTCATTCCTTTAAAATCGTTAGAACTGTAATTTTTGCGTATTTATATTCATCAAGATCAATTTTGTAATATCGCAGGGGTCTTCTATTCTATAAATGAGAATAATAAGGCTTATTGTAATGCATTGAATGAAAAATGTTGGTAAAAGGTTAGCATCTTCCTCCCTTGATCCCTCCTACAATGTCTTCCACTGGCTTGAATTGTCTTTCTTTTCTTACATATTCTCTGTCTAGTTCTAGAATCCTCCCTCTCTTCTATCTAGTTAATTTTTTTTCTCTCCCATTTCCCCAACTCTCACATATGTCTCTCCATTTTAAAAATGAAGTTAGAGTTCCCATGAACCCATGATCTTGTGATTGCAGGGTCAGAGTTAGATAGGCTCCATCCCATGATTTTCCTGAACAATGAGATTTTTCTCGCCTTTTAGTCTGTTGCCTGGTAGTGAGCCTCTATTTCATATTATTTAATTAGTATTAGGATTAATTTAATTTGGGATTATATATTGGTTTTATTTTTGGACTGGGTGTATAGACTTTTGCTTGGTTTATGCTGTTTGTAGATTTCTTTCTCCATATTTTCTCTATTGAAGTGTCATATCATTTGATTTCTTTCTGGTGCTGTGCAAGTAACCTGATTGGATCTAGTGGTGATCTCTTCTGAATGCCCAAAGGCTTCATCTCTCTTTGAACCATCTTTATCTGTTGTTTGAACACAAAAACTGTTGTTTCTCCACAACTTACCACCTTCCTCATCCGTTACCTATCCTATTACTATTATAACCCATTTCTTGATTTTTCTACACCATCTAGGAATCATAAATCAATGTCATTTGATATTATAATAAGATCACAACATGATCTAAGATGAAAAACAAAATGTAGCACAACTACTTTCTCTCTCATTACCGATGAATATGCTCTTAAAACTCGATCACCTGAGTAAGAGAGATTCTTTTATAGAGGAGCGCACAATTAATTATTTTATGCTGCAATATGAGTTGTTAGAACCAAAAGTGTATATAGTTCTAGAAGGATTGAAGTCATCCTTCAACAATACAGTGCAGTTACATCCTTATTGATCCATATTTGATGTTTAGATTCTATATTTGAAGTTGGAGAAATAACATTGTCACTAGAGACCACCACTTCTTATGGATAGAGTGCAACTCCATGATTAGATTGTAAGATTACACCATGTGAACCCCAAGCTGACTCCTCATGAGAATCAATCCAGAGTGGAGAACGTGGAGGCCATTAGTACTCCCAAATCTATCCCAGTCATAAGGTACTTTAAATGCCACGATATTGGATACATTGCATATGATTGCCCAAACATGAGTGTATTCTCTTTTTCACCAAGTAGGGAACGGTGGAAGAAATGGACAGTGACATAAGAAAAAAATGAGGTTGTAGAGAGGAATATCAGTTTTCGACCGATAAGGGAGATATACTAGTTGTTTGATGGATTCTTTAGACTAGGTTCACGAGGAATAGCTTTGGCATTGATATAACATATTTTATGCACATTGCACTGTGAATGAAAATATGTGGCCTTATCATAAATGCATGTAGTTTTTGAGAACATGATGTCTACCCAAATGATTGAGAAGTTTAACTTGGCCACACAGAAGTGAACCTGACCTTATTTCCTGTCTTGGTTGAAGAAGGGAGTAAGATCAAAACTGACAAGAGATGTATCACGAAGTTCTCTATTGGAGATAAGTTCCAGGAGCAGATGCGGTGTGGCGTGGTACAGATGGATGCTTGTCATATCATATTATTCCATTCTTAGAAGGGCGATCATTGTGCATGTTATGATGGCTACAAAAATACATATTTATTCACCAAAATGGAAAACACAAAGTTCGAGATAATGGAGTTTCATTCAAAATTTGAGAATTTGTTGTCACGAATTAACTCTCTACAGGTCTTAAGAGAAATATTTGTAGGAATAGCACTTTACGTCTTAGAAGACAATGAATTCGAGGAGCCAATACAAGAAAGGCAAGTCCATGCTAGGAGATTTGTAGGTAATCTGATCGATATTCCATCTCTTGGATTGCTACTACTGAGAGATGTCCAACATGTCATAGGCCTCATTCTTGGACCAGTGCTTCCCAACTGACTAGTCTACATGACGCGTCCCAGGAAAGTACAAGAACTTGTAGAACCAAACCAATAGATCCAAAAAGGTCGTGGGTTTCAAGGAAGATGACTTTGTATGGATCATATTAAAAAAGGAGCTATCCAGCAGGTTTATTTGGAAAGCTGAAGCCTAGAACTGGTTGTTCTTTCCAGATTATTAAGAGAATTAAGACAAGTTATGCAAATTTAATTTATCGGGAGACTACAACTTTTTTGCTACATTTAACATTGTTGATTTGTTCATATTATGAGGATTCAGATGCTTTCGAAAAAGGTGAAGCCTCTCTTATATGGGGAGAGTGACTTCGGAGCTCCCGCAAACACGCGATCATGGGATCGGAGTGGGATAGGCTCTGTCTCGTGATTTTTCCAAAAGGCAGGATTTTTCCCGCCTATTAGGATATTTACAGGCCGTGAGCCTCTATTTAATACTATTTTAATTAGTATTAGGATTAATTTAATTTGGGACTACCTTATCTTACGATAAGGTTCCAAGAGATGTCTTTTGGAGCGTTTTTGAGAAGAAATGTGTTGATATGACTTATATTCAAGTCATTAAAGATATGTATACTAAAGATGTTACTTGTGTTAGAACTGAAGGAGGAATGACCAAATATTTTCCTATTTCTATTGGATTTATTTCTATTTTCCTATTTCTATTGGATTACATCAGGGATCGGCTTTAAACCCATATCTTTTTGCTTTAGTTATGGATGGTCTTACTGGACATTTACAGGAGGATGTACCTTGGTGCATGCTTTTTGCTGGTTATATCCTTCTCGTGGATAAGACAAGAGAAAAAGCCTAGGAAGAACTTGAATTATGGAGGTCTACATTGTTGTCTAAAGGTTTTCATTTGAGTAGAGCTAAAATTGAATACATGGAATGTATTTTTAGTAGTAGTAGCTCTAGTGACTGAAGTGTAACTTTGGGTGATCAAATTATTAAATGGTGTGAACTATTTAGATATCTCAGGTGTGTTGTTCAAAGCGATGGTGATATAGATGGGGATGTTAATAGTAGATTTCATGTTAGTTGGTTGAAGTGGAGGAATGCTTCGGGCCTTTTGTGTGATAGAAAAGTACCATTTAGACTGAAAGGAAAATTTTATAAGATGGTGGTAAGACCTGCATTGCTCTATTACGCTGAATGTTGGTCTTTAAAAGAGAAGCATAATACTAAGTTAAGTGTTGCCAAGATGAGAATGATTAGGTGGATGAGTGGCTTTACACTTAGAGACAAAATGCGAAATAAATATATCTGTGATGGAGTTTGTGTAGCTCCAGTGACCGGCAAAATTAGAGAGTGTCGTATTAGATGGTTTGGTCACATTAATCTCACATTAATAAGGCAGGGTAGACCTAGGAAGAGTTGGGCATATTGTATAAAAAATGATCTTAATTTATCAGAACTAAATGAAAATATGATACTAAATAGGACGCAATGGAGAAAAAAGATTCATGTAGCCGACCCCACGTAGTGGGATTAAGGTTTTGTTGTTGTTGTTAGTTTTATTTTTGGACTGGTTGGGCAGACTATTGCTTGGTTTATATTATTTGTAGATTTTCTTCTTATTGTTCTTCCTATTGTAGTGTTGTATCTATCTCTGACCGAATGCTTATTCAAATCAGGATATTCATTCAAGGTAGGCTGAACCATTATTAACATCATTCAGACTTCCTTCTATTTAGATAGTTAAATACAAAGCAAATTTTCCCAATTGAAATTGTATTCATCACATAGTCAACGTACAAATGACTTTTAAGTCAATATTATTTGATTTGGTCTTGAATCATTTTTGAAATGAAATGCATGTTCATCAAATGTATGCCATGATTTAGTTGGCATTCTATAGGTAAAACTCCAAAACAAAATTTATTTTTGTATTAAGCTTATTTGTAACAAAAGCCACAGAATCATTTGAATTCAAATCCTCTAATAAAAATATTGTTGTTTTTGCCCTCTCTATCATAGTCAATGTCTTAAAACATTTAATTTTCAGGCTGAATCCATGGGCCGACTATTTGCTTATTGGTAGCATGGATTGGGGGATCAATTTATTTTGTTCTTTCTTATTCACTCGTCAAGTTCTTCCCTATATACATAGTAGAAATTATATCCAGTTAGTGATATTGATTCATGCCATAAATTTCTTATAGAAAGAAGGAAAGTCAACCTTTGTAATATAATTAATATCAATTATAGTCTTTTTATTGCATTTCATATAATTGTGTATGGATATCTTTTACTTTGTCAAATTTTTTTTTAAAATCTATATTTTATTAATGGCATGAGAGCAAGGTTCTGGGTAATAATCCAATGTTTGGTGGAGATAACAACACGCCATGAAGAGTCGGTAGTTGAGGAGTACTATTTCATTGCAATGCTTGTAACATTTTAAAGTGGGAACTATATGAAGCATATTTGTTGGAGCAGTAGAACATCGAACATTTGTTATTTGCTCTATTATAAATCTTGTATTTTTACTCCTCACTCTAATAATAAGATGGGACTAAGTCCCCCTTTTAAAAAAGATGTAGATATAAAGTTAAATCATCATAAATCTTCTGTCTTTTCAGGTTGTTTACTTTGCTCTCCTTCAGCTGTCAAGCAGCTTGATTTAGAGAATTTTTTTCATTTTAACATTTAACTTTGGGATAGCATTTTTTTGTACACTACTTGTCTGATTAGTCAAAGGCTTTCACTTTTTACAGTATTACAGCCAAACAGTTCCTAAAATGTCATCATCAGATTTGACGGGTTAACATCTATAAAGAACAAATGCGCCTCATTTGCTTGCTAATCAAGTGAAAAAATCTCTGACTAGCCTCCAGTAAACAAGGCAATGCTCTAAATCGTTTGTTGATCACCATGGCTGCTATATTCTTTGTAAATTGTAATCCAAACGTCTGAACCTTTGATAATGTCTGCTTTGCCTCCACCATTATTTTCCACTATTTTCGTTGCGATCTCTTCCACCTTGCCCTTTATCTACCCTTCTGGGTTGAGACTTCTAACTTCCATCTTGAAATGCTTCACCTGCATCTTCCACCACTTGGCCACGTATCTCATGTACATCCGTAAGGATTACATTTGATAAAGAGACCAACCGCTTTGCTTTACCAACCATCTTTGATAAAGGAAGGGATCTTGACGAATCCCCACTCTATGGTTCTTTCCATCAGTCATGTTCTCTTTTCACCTGCTCCGTTTAATCTTTGGTTTGCGCCAATCATTCCTTTCATCTCCTCTTCTGCATCTCTCAGCCATTCTTATAAATCCTCTCACTCACCAACATCTTTCACTGACATTTGCTTAGCCATCCTACACCTGCAAGTTGCGCCCAGCCCAAAATGCTGCCCTCCATGAAATCTCACCCTAATCTCAGATTCTCCAACATCACTTGCTCACCCTATGCACCATTAAGCACAAACCATATCAATAATACTTCATGACACAATCAAAACTAGTTTAATTCATTTAGGTTCAATATGCATGAAGACCTTTAAGCTTCCAAAATTGTGGGAGCCTTGATAATGCAGGTAAATGATGTAATGTGGTAATATGTAAAAATCTTGTGACTAGGATTTGTGATGCTAATTTGCTCAGATATGCTGAACTAATTTTGATATAGGCACAAATGAAAATCAAGTTATGTTGTCTGCGTAGATTACTGAAATTAGTTGTTTTATATTGGATGTGCAAGATTCTTTATTTGCATAGTTGGTCAATTTAACCAAACAATCTGAATGCACAAAACAGGCTACTTGCCCAGGTCATATCTTTTGGAAAATGGGCACATGCCTTTACCTCTGCTACTTGTTATTTGTTATTTTCTATGGTTAAGGTGCTTTTATTATATGTGTTAGCAGTACGTCCATGATTTAAATTGTAATTCTTGTGCTTTGATTTTACTCAATTTACTGATCAACACATAGAAAGATTTCACTAGCTTTGCTCACATTTTATGTTCAAGAAAATTGTAGCTTCTGCTGCCTTACATAATTTCTTAGTATGTTGTCCTTCAATTATTTGTTGTTATTTGACCATCCTTTTTAGCTTTCTCTCGTTGGCATTGTTTTATTAATTGTTAGTTTGTGTAAGTTGTTTCTAAAATGATTTAATTGCAGATTTTCTGGAGCATGACTCATTTATCAGAAGGATATTGCTCCGAACGAGGCATAGTCGCTACATTTATTAAGATATTGAGGCCTATATTGACGAATTTTCATTTCATGCATTTGAAAAATTATTTCTCTAAAGAGAAGCTTTTGAGAAGGAAGATCAAGAGAAATTGCATTTAGCCTGAAGAACAGGCAAACAGGTTTTGTTGGCAACATTATTATTGAGGGAATAGGAATAAGATGAAGTTCCATATTGAGGAGGTGGTTGTGTACTTCCCTTATGATTACATCTACCCTGAGCAGTATGAGTACATGGTGGAGCTAAAGCGAGCTTTGGATGCTCGAGGCCATTGCTTGTTGGAGATGCCGACTGGTACTGGCAAGACTATTGCCCTTCTATCCCTCATTACTTCATATGCTCTTGCACACCCTTCCTCTCCCCTTAAGCTCATCTACTGCACTCGTACAGTTCATGAGATGGAAAAGACTCTTGCTGAGCTTCGAGTTTTGTACTCCTATCTACCCCCCTCTTCCTCTCTTCTTGCTCTTGGTTTGTCCTCTCGCAAGAATCTTTGTATCAACCCTGATGTTCTCTCAGCTTCCTCTCGTGACTCAGTTGACTCTGCATGTCGTCGCCTTACTGCTAGTTGGGTTCGTGCACTTGCTGCTGATAGGGAGGAATATAACGATAGAAACTCATTGCAACGCTCAGGTGCTATCTCTACTTGCCCTTTCTTCGAGTCTTATGATAGGGCCTCTCGTGATGCCATCCTCCTTCCCTCAGGAGTTTATACTCTTGAGGACCTCCGTGCATTTGGTCGTGATCGGAAATGGTGCCCTTACTTTCTTGCTCGCAATATGGTTCGATATGCCAATATTATTGTTTATAGCTACCAATACTTGCTTGATCCTAAGGTTGCCAACATCATCTCCAAAGAGATGCAAAGGGAGTGTGTTGTTGTTTTTGATGAGGCTCACAACATTGACAATGTCTGCATTGAGGCTCTTAGTGTAAGCATTCGAAAACAAACGCTTGATGGGGCCACTAGGAACCTCAGCCGCATTGCTCAAGAGATTGACAGGTACATATTCATTAACTTTATAAATTTATGGATTTTACCTTCATATTCCTGAGATATGCTACCTTTATGACATAATTAATACAAAATATTACTCACAGAACTATTTTCTTACATGTAGCTCAGGAGTTTGGATCAGCTAGCTAGCTCCTACGATGTTGAAAAAAGGAATGAAATACTTTAAAGTGATATGAGTTTGTCAAGTGAAATAGATCAAGTGAGTGATGTTGAGAGTGGGCCTACCTAATAGGTTATTGATGTTGATAAAGGTTGCAAGGATTTAGAATGTTTAATCCATTAAAACTAGGATTTTTCTTAGGCTAATATTAGAGTCATTTATAATTTCAGTTGGCGGGTTAACTGTGGTTATAGGGAAAACTAATTGCTAATAGTAATTTTTTAGAAAAACCTACTTTGATTTGTCTTCCACCTTTTGTTGTCTACTTCTATTGAGAAGGCAACAAAGATGCTTGAGGATAATGTAAATGGCTAGAGAATTTTTTCTTCCTGGAATTAAAGGAAATTTCTCATAGAGGTATGAATTTTCAGCCAAAAGCTTTTTTTTTCTTTGATGCAATCTTTCTAAAATTTATGTTTGTTGTTTTCTTTCAAGAAAGGCAGAGGTAGACCTAGGAGGACTTGGGCATATTGTATAAAAAATGATCTTAATTTATTAGAACTAAATGAAAATATAACACTAAATAGGACGCAATGAAGAAAAAGGATTCATGTAGCCGACTCTCACGTAGTGGGATTAAGGCTTTGTTGTTGTTGTTGTTGTCTTCTTTCAATAAAATTTTACCTCAAGCAATTTTTTCCCCAAATGGTCCACGAGCTTATGTTTTTTATGACAACCTTCACTAGGGTCAAAGAGGTGCTTGGTGGTTTTAGACGAAGGCTGCACTGGTCACTATGCTTTGCTTGGTGTTGATGGTGACTTTTGGAGACGTCGGAGAGGCACATCAATCTTGTGCCCTATTTAGTTTTACCTGGCCACTAATTTCTCTTGGTTAAATGATGACCTTTGATGGTTGATGTAGAAATTCTAAAGAAATTCTATTTATGGCTACACTTCATGCACCTTGCTACATATAAATTGACAGAAAACTAAATAAGGGAATCTCTCCAAAATAAGAAAACAATAGAAAAAAGAAATATCTAATAAAGTAAACATAATTAGTGAGATATTTTATGAAAGGGATTTTGAGTGTCATGAATAAGTTTGTTGATTAAGAGTAGATTGCAATTAAATTTGAAACATAAAAAGTAGAGTAGAGATGAAGATTCTTTTTCAATTTAGCTTATTAGTTTCTTTTACTGGTGAGAGTGAACCATCGACTGTTCAAACTGCAGTGATCGATACATGAATTGTAATTTTTGAAGATGTTGATGCATCGTGATATGATCTGATGCTTCGAAGTCGACCATCCGAGGTTTTAATTTATTTCTTCGGACATTAAAAGGGTGGGATAAGATATCTTGGTGTGCTAACAAATTGTTATGTTGCTTGATAGAGGATTGCGTTGCTTGTCTAGAACTGGAACTATTACTAAATATTTTCTGTAGTACATTTAGTTCCTGGTGAACAGACTGAATTTTGAATTGTTGTTGGTTGTGGCAAAAACATTTGCTCATTTCTCCTTGTCATATCTTTCATTAGATTGCTTCAAATCTGCGGGTTTACATTGTAATTTCCAACATTTTTTTCACATGACCAGTTTTCTTACAATGATCACACCACAGTCGTCCTTTCTTTGGTTTGTTATTTTGAGAGGGATTTTGAGTGTACAAGGCTAATCTTTCAACAAATGGTGGGGTGTGATTGTCCATCACATTAACTTCCAACAACACTTTTCCCTTCGAACTTCTGCAAAGACCTCCTGAATTATAAGGATCGGTTTACTTCCTATGTTTCTCCCCCTGACTTCATCTAGGTCGTCTTTATTGAGGTTAAAGAGAAATTTGATGGTTCTTTTTTGGTTTAATAATGCTTCTAGACAATGGAGAGTCATCAAGACATTTCCAAGAGTACATCTCATACATGTCTAATTACAACCAACAATGTGTGAGGGTATTGAAGTATTGAGTAAAACTCAATATTGCTTGTCGTAGAACTTGTAGTCTGGTCTTAATTTCAAAATAACTCAGAGGAGTTTTCAGTGTAGAGTAGGTTTCACGTGCAGACTCCCATATCTCTTTGGCTATTCTATAGAGTATAAAGTTCTCTAACCTCCGTCGTGATGGAACTTACCAATCATAATGTATGCATGTTAACTTTTCAGGCCCGATGGTTGGAATCTGTCATTTCTGGAGTTCAAATTTCGCCCGTGAGATGTCCATCTTTCCCTCGATTACAGATGTACATGAAAACGTATTGTGATCATTGAAGAAAATTATTGTTCATGATTAAGTGAGAGAAGTAATTAGATACAATCGGGGTTGAAGACATAGACTTGGATTTGGATGTGAATTTCAAGGAAGAAAATTCTGTGGCCATGTCGTGTTTGATAATGCTAAGATTGTGAAGCTCGAATCTAGATGGCATGTTGTTCGAACAAAGTGAGAGGAGGACCCTTAGTTCGACTACTTGACAGGGAGGTGCTAAACTTCTGCTCCACAAGTTCAGCAAGACGAATCTGGTTTTTAGTAGATAATCCCAAGAGTCAGAGGAGATGAAGCCTATAGTAGAAAAAATCCATCGAGAAGACTCCTGCGACTGTCCTGCATTGTGGAGAAGAAATTTGTGAAGAAGAGGTTCAAGGCGAAGAAACAAACTGTTTTGCTAGCAATTCGACTAGAAGAGATGTTATGTGGTCCATGCAACGAAAGAGGAGGGGAGATTGTCCTCTTAGATGTATGAACAATGACCGACTCATGTTTATTCAAATTGTCAAAATCCAAGAAGAGATTACCATTGACCACATTTTGAAGAGTCGATGGGGAGACGGGTATGAGGATCTGAATCCATTCTGCAGTGGAGATCATAGCGGCGAGGAATACCGACCACACCGCTTTGGAATCCAATATCAAAGGAGATGGAGAGAAGAGGCCACTTATGAAGGCCAACGAGACTTTTACATCAAGATGAACCTTCCAGAGTTTGAAGGAGTTTTGCATCTAGATGAATTTATTGATTGACCACAATCTGTTAAACGAATCTTTGAGTATAAAGTTGTGTTAGAGGATAAGCAGGTCAAATTAGCTGCTATCAATTTGGAGAAAAACAACTCTTTGTGGTGGGAGAATTTACAGAGACAGAAGAGAAGAAAATGCAGCAATGAGATTACCAAGTGGGAAAAAATAAAGAAGACAATGTAGAAGAAATACCTTCCACCTCATTACTATCAGGATATGTTTATGAGACTCCATAACCTGCGACATCGTGACCTTTTAGTGGAGGAGTTCACAGCTCGGTTCAACCATTTACAAATCAAATGTATGTTGTCCTAGCTAAACAAGCACACTATAGCCCGTGACCTTGGGGGTCTAGAGCCCGCTATCAACATTGTGGTGCAGCTGCAATCATACTGGACATCGTGAGATGTTTAGACTCTAGCCTTGAAAGTGGAAAGACAACAGGAACAGAGCAGACAATAATCGTCCTTCTGGCAGCAATCTTTAGTCAAGCAGTCACCCACAGCTACCACGACCGATAAAGTTACCTTGGAGGCAATTAGCAAGTTTGGACAAGGAAGTGACAAGCGGGATCAGAGTGGAAAGAAATAGGAGAAAGGAAGTCTTTCCAATAACGTACTGACCAGAAATTATTTCAGGTGCGACATCTACGGTCACATAGCCTCTAGCTGTCCCATGAGCTGAGTGGTTGATTAGGGCACCATGGAGGAGATTAATGATGAATAGAAAACTGAGGAACAGGATAAGGTGTACTATTTTCCACCAAATAATGTAGAGTCATTTGTGGTTCGACAAATTCTACAGCTTAGGATACAAGGGATCCGTAGTAGCTTTGCCACAATATCATATATACCCGCTGCACGGTGAACAGAAAGATATGCAGTCTCATCATCGATGGGAGTAAGAATGTGACACCTACATAGATAGTAGAGAAGTTGGTTCTCATGACTTAGAGATACTTCCAACCATATTCTCTGACGTGACTGAAGAGAGAACAAAATCAACATTGACCAGATATGCCTAGTAGAGTTTTCAAGTGGGAGCCAATTACAGGATCAAGTGTGGTGCAGCGTGGTCCTCATAGATGCCTGCCACTTTTGTTGGGGAGTCTGTGACTGTTTGACTGGAAGACTCTGCATGAGGGATTCAAAAACACATTCCTTCACCAAGGGTGGAAAACGAATCATCCTAGTTCCTTTGGCGGAGCCCGAGATAAAAAAAGTCCTTGTTAGCAGAACAACATTGGTGAGACCAGTTTTGGTGATGCAGGGGACGATGGTATTGCGACACCGACTCTAGGCACGAGACATGCACGATAGAGGGCATTGCAGAATATCAGGGTCGATACCTTACCACAAGCGCCACCATAGTGCGGGAGGGTTCCGGTTACTCCCATTTCAGATCTGGTTAAGCCGACCTTGGATATGACCTTGGGAGTATTTATCAAGAGAGGCGGGACACGTAGTCCAGTGTAATAGTAAACACCTAGAATACTGAACAGATGTGGATGCTTGCTTGTAAGTTGAGAAAGACCCTCAGGTACCTTGAAGGATGGTGCAGTCGCCAGTGAGATCCATGTGCTATTAGAATTACAGACAAAGAACCATAAGCTTCGACGAATGAAGTCGAAGCTCCCCCAAGCCCGGGAGATTGACGCGTGTTTGAGCCCAGCCTGCTGAAGCGACTGCCTGAAGATTAGGCGAACCTGGTCTGAGGCCGGTTCTGATTTCTATGGGACCGAGCGGCACTTGGAAGGGTGGAAATGCTGCCAATCCGCTTTCTCCCTTGTGTCTTTTCTCATTTCCTTTCCTATTTTCCGCCTGATGGGAGTCTATTTATATTCTTGTTTCTGTAATTAGGATGGGAGTCTTTTTTTATTCTTGTTTCTGTACTTAGGGTTGGGTTATGTGTTTTTGCTTTCATACTCTGTGTGAAGTCTCCTTTTCCTTTGTTAGGGTTGTATCCGATGACGGATGGTGCTTCGACTTGTATTCTGCTTTGAGGTGATGTTGTATCCTTTCCAATTTCCTCCCTGCCATTTTCTCTTTCTCCTCTAACCACCGACCTGTAGCTTCTCTTCCTCCCCCATTCTACTAACAGCCTGCTGACCCTTTCCATCCGGCTACTCACCTATCTAACCACCAACTTGCACCCTGGCGCCCCCTTAGCGACAGTGGGATCCAGGTACTTGCTGTTGAAGATGCTTCATCCCTGGGAGGTTACAACAGCTCTGTCACCATCAATGTCAATGTGAAGATAGAAGTTTCGATAAATGAGGTCGAAGCTACCACAGCCTCGGGAGAATGACACGGGCATCAACACCCTACGCGGCAATTGTCGTGACTTCCTTTGCCCCAGACCTATTTAGTCCAGGCAAAAGAGGGATCTAACTAGTCCTTTGAGGCATCGACTTCCCTCCAATTGGGAGCAGGGTCCACTTCTCTTTAACTTAGGCCTATAAGAATGTTCTTTCATATTTTAGGTCAGTTTTTTTTTGTACATTTATGCTAGGAAAGCCATCAACATCCCCTCTTTTCCTAGGGTTGTTTCTAAGTGCGAGTGGCGCTCCGACTATACCTCGTTCCATGGTGGTGATTCTCCTCCAAGGGTCGAGTGGTGCTCTTGCTATATCTCACTTCCAAGGCGATATTTATCCTCAATTATCCCCATCTTCCACAACTTTCTATCCGCTACCGCTGTCGCCATAGCTGCTGCAACCACCTCCTAAGACAACACCTTTGTTGTCACCAACAACCTCCATACCTCCCTGCCATCCGTCCCTACCACCTACCAACCTTCCAGCCCTTCTACCTTGTAATGGCCGGCCTTCCCACTCTTTCACATTGTTGTCGTCATCCTTATCCTGCTTCCTCTTCGCTGTTTCCGCCCCTAAACAACAAATTGCTGCTATTGGGACCATTGTCCCTTGCTATCTTGCTATTCCAACCACGCATAATCGCCGCCACCATCCTTTCCAAGCCCATAACGACCTCACCCGAGACTCACCATAGCCATGTGTTGCATGTCCTGTTGTTATTTCATGTTTTCATGTGTGGTTGTAACAACATATTAGTTTTTTCAGAAATAATGTTTGCTTTATTATTGTTAGGTTTGAGTTAACTCCGGTATCATTTGAATCAGAGCTAGCCTAACCCAATTTCTATCTTAAGGTTTCTAGCATCCACCAATGCCCAACCTTATCTCCACCCAACACCCTCTCCTGTATACTGATTTTTTCCAAATTGGCCACACAAATTTTCTTTTCCACCCTACATCGGCCCCTTAATCATGTCATTGAGGAGGCAATTGTTTAACATTGATTAGGAGTTTACCGGGAAGAAATGCAGCGGGAACTCCATTGAGTGCTACAGCGACTCGTTCATATTGAGGAAAGGATCCAGGGAGAGGTCACCGTTGAGCTTGGTGGACAAATCCAACGAAGAGAGAGAGGAACACTTGAATGATTTTTTTAGGGATGATTCTAGTAGAAAAGAAGACAAGATCATGACTCTTTGGGATACCGTATCAGAAGAGGCAGAGAGATGAAGTGCATGTTGGAGGATACAAAGAATCAAGAGTGAAAGTGGACATACCAGATTTTGAGGGGAGAATGAATTCGAATGACTTCATAGAATAGTTGCAGATCATCAAAAATGTTTTTGAATATAAGGATGTGCCAGACGATCGAAAAGTGAAGCTTGTTGCTATCAAGCGGAAGAAAAGTGCCTTGTTGTGGTGTAAAAACTTGTTGAGGGAGAGAAATAGAGAAAGACGGAGCAACATTACTATCCGGGAGAAGATGGAAGAGGGAGTTGCTGCGATAGTACCTACTCCCACACTACCGTCAGGATCTTTTCTTGAGACTCCACCATCTACAGTAGGTGAACCTATTAGTGAAAGAGTAGACATCAGAGTTTATGCATCTTAAGCTGAAATGTGATCTAACAGAGTCAGAGGAACACACAATAGCCAAGTACTTAGGAGGCTTGAAGTCTGTCATCGATAACGTGGTTCGATTATAGCCTTACTGGTCCTTGAGTGACATTTTGACCTTAGCACTGAAGATGGAGAGACAAAAGAAACAGGGCAGACACCTACTGCCATTCAGACAGCCTCCCACTATTGGAGACATTAGGAAGACTCCTAATTCAATTGAGAATTATGGCCGAAAAAATGATAGAGCCATCTAAAGTGAGAAGTTTGAGAAAAGTTGCACCCCCATTATCTTCCCAGCCAAGAAATATTTCGGATGCCATAGTTTTGGAACCATCATTTTCAGTTGCTCAACAAAATGAGTTGTGTCATTCACCGACTAGGGTGCAGTGGAGGAAGTTCCTGACGAAGAAGCAGTTGAAGAAAAAGGTGAGTACCAATTTTTATCAGATTAGGGCAAGATGCTTGTGGTTTGACGTGTCCTACAGACTAGGACTACGAGTGAGCAACAGTGGCTTTGCCACAATATATTTTTCACCACCATGAAGGGAAATGTATGAAGTTTCATCATCAATGGATGGAGTAACAAGAACTTGGTGTCTACATAGATGGTGGACAAATTGAACCTCGCGACTCAGAGGCATTATCTGCCTTACTCCTTGACATGGTTGAATAAAAAACATAGGGTCATCATTGATAGGAGGTGACATTGAGTTTTGGATTGAGAATCAGTTGCAAGATCAGGTGTGGTGCGATGTGGTGCCCATAGATGCCTGCAGCCTTTTGTTTGTGAAATTGTGATAGTTTGACCGCATTAATCAGCATGATGGGTTCAGGAACTCCTACTCATTCACTAAGGATGACAAACACATCACCCTTCTATCGTTTGCGAAGTCCGAGTTTACATGTGCTCTTTTTAGCAGAGAAGCACCCTCAGAATCAGTTTTGGTGATGACAGAGGAGAGAGGGCCAGAAGAGCTGATTTCGGACACTGGTCAGTTAGTATAGAGAAAGTTTCAGGACATCCTATTCAATAGCTTATTGCCATGGCCTCCATCGTTTAGGGAGATTCAAGCTTACTTTATTTCATATCAGGTTGAGCTGATTTGGGGTTACTTTGGAAGGATTTAGCAGAATATACATAACACGTAGTCCCATTTCAGTTTTGTAGTGTACCCCCCCATAAGGTTGGACCGATATGGATGTCTGTTCTCAAGTGGGGCCATTCTCGAATAGCTCTAAACTTCTCAAGTTTGCTGAAGCACCCTTGCTTTGTATATTGAAACTAAGTTGATCTTATGGAACCGTAAGTGTGCAGTTATTCAAATTAATGAATCTCTCATTAGATAACTTCTTGAACCTTCCTGAGTAGTGATGGCTTTTCCTTTTGGTTTATTCAAACTAATATCTGTTTCTAATTTGTTTGCGTAGCTCGATGACATAACTTCTTGAACCTTCCTGAGTAGTGATGGCTTTTTCCTTTTGGTTTATTTAAATTGCGTGAAAAATGCAATTTGGCCCGCTACTTTTAATTTTTTATATATGAAATTCAAATTGGTTTTTCTTGCATATGACATTTGATTATTAATTGCTAAATTCGTTGCTTTGTTAGAAAGGTTCAAGGCCACAGATGCTGGTCGGTTACGGGAAGAATACAATAGGCTGGTTGAAGGTTTGGCACAACGAGGAAACCTTCCTAGTATGTGTTGACATTTGTTACTCTTTTCCACCTAAACAATATGATGCAAATTGTTCTCTTTATTGATTGCAGTGACTGATACTTGGCTCGCAAATCCTGCCTTGCCTGATGATATTTTAAGGGAAGCAGTGCCCGGAAATATCCGAAAAGCTGAGCATTTTTTAGCTGTTTTAAGAAGGCTGGTGCAATATTTAAAAGGGCGTTTGCAAGTTGAGAGTGTGGAGACAGAAGTACCTGTTGCTTTTGTTGCTTCAATAAATGGACAAGCTGGAATTGATCAGAAAATGCTAAGATTCTGCTACGATAGGCTGCATTCCCTAATGCTTACTCTTGAAATAACTGACACAGATGAGTTTCTGCACATTCAAACTGTTTGTGATTTCGCAACATTGGTTGGTACATATACCAGGGGGTTTTCTATAATCATTGAACCTTTTGATGAGAGAATGCCCCACATACCAGATCCTGTTTTACAGGTTTTTCTCTCATCCATTCTATGTTGCTCATTATGCAAGATATGCTCAAATTCTTGATGAACTGACTATAGCAATGTTATTTTGTTGTGCAGCTTAGCTGTCATGATGCATCACTTGCCATAAAACCTGTATTTGATCGTTTCCAGTCTGTGATAATAACATCTGGGACCTTAAGCCCTATCGATCTATATCCCCGTCTTTTGAATTTTAACCCCGTCATAAGTCGGAGTTTTACAATGTCCTTGACCAGGGATTGTATATGTCCAATGGTTCTAACACGTGGGAGGTATGATTGTAATATGTCATATGCTTTTAATCCGTTTGCATGAAATCATAATTTCTTATGCTTGTACTTTTGCATAGATTTTCATTATTTTAAGTCGATAATAACAGAATCATTGGCTTTTATGCCTGGGTTTTCTCTACTTTTGGAGTCTTCTCAGGAACGACTTCATTAATTTTCTGGTGCTGTAGAGCAGGCTTAATGCATTCTTGTTTTGGTCAGTGATCAGTTGCCTGTGAGTACGAAGTTTGACATGCGCAGTGATCCTGGTGTTGTGAGGAACTATGGACGGCTCCTATTGGAAATGGTTGCTGCCGTCCCAGATGGCATTGTTTGCTTCTTTGTTAGTTACTCCTATATGGATGGCATTGTAAACAGTTGGAATGAGATGGGCATCTTACAGGTAACAATTTTATATTTTAGCTGTACTAGTGCTGATTATGATTATGCCAAAGTGTTATGGAACAATGACTGTGAATGGAAAGAAGGTAGACAATCTTATGCTAAAGTGCTATTGAAGAGGGACTGTGAATGGAAATAAAATAGGCAATTGACTTCAGAATGGAATTAACTTTCTTTCCCATTCCACTCCGCATACATTTTTCTCATATGTGGGTGGGGAAAAACTATAGAAAATGACAACTCTTATGAAAACTAAAACTAACTCCAAATATCCTCGAAAGACAACTAGCACTACAACCCCATGCCATATGCCTTAAAATAACTAGGAAATTCTTCAAAGATCATAGAGAGGAACAAAATTAACATTAGAAGCCATTACATGTTTAAGAATTTGAAAGGTCGAAAATATGCAAAATGCAAATAAATGGTAGAGAAGATAAAAAAATAAAGAATAGAAAACACTTGCTCACCTCATCTTCAGTGGAACAATATCAGTCATTTATTTTAGAAGTTATTGGATGTTAAATTAATGTTTGGAGCAAAAAATGTAAGTTACAATTGAATTTAAAAGAAAAATTAAATAAAAGCTGGTGCTGTACCATCATCTCACCATTCTAAATGCATTTATTACTTCGTCATGGTGGGGCCAAGATAGCCTTTAGTTTATCTAAGTATATTGGATACCTTGGTTAACACAACTAGATAAATTTAAGAGGGATGTCAGTTAATTCAAAAGTGATGTCAACATTGAGTTTGGACTTTCTGTGAGTACAAGCCCAATTGTTAATTACCTTTTCTGTGTATATGAGATGGAAATTCTAATTAAGGAGGTCACTTAAAGTTCAAGTTTCTAATGAATCGAGCCAATCTAAACAAGTGCATGCTTGAGCTTTTAGCTCATTTGTGAAAAACCTTATTGGAATCTTGCTCTAGCTTTTATCTCATTTGTCACTTAAAGCTTTAAGCTCGGATCATTTAATAAAATTATGGCTCTTTGTGCTTGATTTCTGCTCCACTTATTAGTTAATCAAATGAGTCTCATTGAGCTTATTAAAGAACAATATTATCAATCAACATGTTAGTTAAGAAACTAACATTATTGAGCTTATTGGTGAGCAGCATATTGAGCTTATATCATGAAGTTTAATAGAATAAACTATTAAATAATTAAACATTTTAATAGACATAAATAAGCAGCTTTTTCTTGTAACAAAATCTTATTATTTTGTGGGTTTTCTTGCTTGTACATATTTTGGGCATAATCATCATAATATCCATCATGTTAAGTTTAGCAATGAGTTTCGGTTATCACAACTATTAAATAAATAAGCATTTCCAGAGTTCATGCTAGATTAAATGTTTGCATCAGAATCTGCATATTGAACATCTCTCCATTATCACAACTATTTCTAGTTAGAGTTGTAAGATTTGATTCACCAAATCATTGTAGTTTTTTCCTTAGTTGATTCACAACCTAGTTTTCCCTTTCCTTTCTTGACGTATTTTTCTTCGATCAAGAATGGTTCTTCCTTCTCGTTGTAACCAGCACTATTCAATATCATGCACTATGGGTTCTCTTCAAACTTAGCATTTTGAATCAAAATCTTGATCTTTCAGCCATCACGTCAAGGAGCACATATATACACGTATTGTAATTTGGATTTAATGTGAAAAAATAAACTAACCTTGCAGCTTTATTAGTGGAGAAAAAATAGGCAAACATATAAGGGGAAAAAACTCTCTCTCTTGAATTCCCTCACTGATGTCTTCCTGATTTGATTCTCTCTCTCAAGCCCTGAAGACTTAAGATTAAACCAATGTTGTTTATATGTGTAAAGAAGACACATATGCACTAACAATAATAATCTTTCGCAACCCACTTCCACTTGTAGAATTGGGTGGATTAGGCACATCAGAGTGGAGTACAATACATGCTAGTATATTCAAAGTGCAATGTCGATTTCATGGGCATTGTTTTTGTTTCTAAGCGCAAAATGCTAAAGACAAAGCGAAAAAGTACTTTTATTAACTGAAGCACTCATATCCTGTATAAAACTATAATACACTGATACATTCACCAACAATTATAAAAAAATATATTACTATAGAATATAAAAGAAATGTGATGCACATACTTGAAGATAAACTTCAAAAGTGAACTTGTAAATTAAAATTTTAACAATTTTTAACACTTTAATGTGATAATTAAAAACTTAAAAAGTATGTAGAAAGTAAAAAATCTTATAATTTTATATCACGGGCTAAATTTTAAAACCTAAAAAGGTAATAATGACTCGAGCATCATAAAATAAGATGAAAGAATTCAGCAATTGTCATTCTCTCTTTCATGCACACAATCTTTTACTTTTTAAAGTTAAATTTTTTATCTTTAAAATTTCTTATACTTCTTGTTCTTCTTGTGAATCAATTTTATCTTTTTTGCACAATAGGTATGGATTCAAGCCGGGATGAAGTAGCCCTTATTATGGATGAACTATTTTTTGAAGACCTATTAAATCTTACAAATGACCTTCGATCAACTTCTCTTTTTCAAGTAAAATTTTCATCACTAAATTGTTGCTGATAACACCCCTTTTTTTTCCTGTCATTCACTCATAAATCATCAATAATCAAAACTAAGTGGATCAATAATACTTTCAAATTGAATCTTCTTTTTAAAGCTTGATTGCACTTGATGAAAATTGAATCATCTAAGCATCAAACAATTTCTCTTTTTCATATGATCTGTTAAGAAAAAATCATATTGAATGCATGAACCATATGAATTATTTATTATGTTTAAAACTTTAATTTATAAATCCGCTCAATGACACTTAATTTCCTCTCACACCCAACAACATTATAAGTAATACCAAAATTTTGATGGCCTATTTTTGTAAAGTTGTGGCTGATCCATCAAGCCCCACATAATGCCCAATACATATGCATTCTCTTATCCTTAAGCGTTTGAACTACATAATAAAAGACATGTTGCCATTCTTTAATTTGAAGAAAAATGAAGTCTGTCTATATATCTATATCTATATATGTATATATTTATATATAGTAAATAGGAAATATCATAATTTATTGGCTTGCAAAACATGATTAGATTGATTATCCGTGAACACGTACTATATATTCTTTACTGCAATTTTTTTATTCGTGCATCTATGAGTTCAAAAAGATTCAATACAATTGTTGAATATTCAAATGCATATGTAGGCTTTTCGAATATTATGTTTAATGATGAATTAACTAAAAATTTAATTATGATCAGTCTATTTATTAGACATAGTTGCACCCCTTCTTTTGCCCTTTTTTTGGTGAACTTCCACTTCCTTTAAAAATAGGCTATAATTTTTTTCAGCTTAAAAACTCAATTTATTATAAGACAACATCCGAATGACTCGACCATAGTAGATAATTGCTTTTATCATATAATCTAAACTCTTCAACTTCACTACACCGAAAGTGGTTTTTATTGATATATATCTCTGATTCTATTTTCTACATTTTTTTTTTAATTCTCATTTGTCACATTTTTCTTTCATTCTTGAATTTTTTTTCTGATTTTATAAACAGTAGGTAATAGTCCATTGAACTTATATATATATATATATATATATATATAGTAATGCTTTTTAATGATGAAACTTGTGTTCAATGGTCTTCTTATGTTCAAAGCCATCTTTTCTCTCACGAGCGCTTTTTGGAAGTCTTCTCATGATCTCTAGCTCTTGGTTCTTGACTTCTCTTCAGTCAACATGTGGCCCTTGGGAATTTTTGAGGAACCCTAATGAACTATCTTTTGGTGTTGAAGTCCTCTAAGAAATAATACTCATGGCTTGGGAATTTCTGAGCAACATTATCTCTCTTTGGAGTTCTAAATGTTCACATTGCCTTGATTGGTCCACATATTATTGAGCCACTTGATTAGTTAAATTGAGAGATGTTAATCTTGATTTTGAGAGAAAAATTGGAATTATTGAATAAACTAAACTTGCTGTACTATGAAATTGCTATCTGCGTTTAGAAGAATGCTGTATAATTTCTAAAGACCCCATCAATTGAAACACTTAAGGATATTTAATGGAGTCAGTAGATGCCAGATTATTGAAGAGGAAATATGCGTTTGAAGAATGACAAAGCATAAGGCATACACTTATTATAAGATACCAAAAGATTTGAGAGGATACTATGCAAATCGATTTGTGCTAATTTGCGTAGCAGGCTAGTTAGTGAGTATGGAGGATATATTAAATTTAAAGTTAAGATATGTAACAGAATTTTAAAAAAATGTTAAAAATGAAGAATTCAATAAAAAGTGGAGATGTTTTGAGATAATTTATGTGAGTTTTGAAACGATAAATTTTTTTTTATGAATACAGTAATTTGAATTGTTATGTATTCTTATTATTGTTAATGGAGTATTGCTCGTTGTGGATGTTTCTTCCAGAACTATAGAGTTCAATGTCTCTTGAATGGGTAACAAATGCTATTTTAATGAATCGTGAGTTGGTAAACATGAAAAAATCATTAAAATAGAAGAGAGATATAATGTAAATAAGACGCAAGGTCGTTCAAGGTCATGAAAATTCAGTCATTGGATGAATAAATTCTAAATTTAAGTTGAAAAAGAACTTCTTGGAGGAAAAATTGCTTAATTTCATTATTCACATTTAGGGTACAAATAGCCTTCCTGATTTTCACACTTCCCCTCAAACTGGGTCATAATGTTGTAAAGGCCTAGCTTGGTATTCAACTCAGCGAAGTTGTCTAGAGATAGAGCTTTAGTTAAGACATCGACAACTTGAAGATGAGTTGGAATGTAGATCAAGTGAATAATGCCACCATTGACCTTTTCATAGATAAAATGTCTATCAACCTTAATGTGTTTGACCCTGTCATGTTGCACAGATTCTTTGCAATATCAATGGCGGCTTGGCTGTCACGGAACATTGTGGTGGGATTGACCATGGAGTATCTCAACTCATTTAG